TTTGTTTCTCTAAATATTCAGTGTTGTCAGTGGGGCTTTTGTGTTGGTGCTGATTTTATTCTGTTCATCCTCAAGTTCTCTGACAGTGCTTTCAATGGAGATAGTTTATTTTGTAGATTAATGTGAAGCTTTTAAGCTTTAAACGATGGAAGTAGCATTTTTTAAGGAATTTCAAGAGCTGGACTTGTCCAGCTCAGAAGTCTAGTTCACTAAAGAGTCAAGGACAACCTTGAAATCTTTTTTTTCCACCAAGGAGCTTATGCTCAATGAGCTTATGCTCATTGTTTTCATAACAGAATAATTTAAGAGACAGTTTCCATGTAGAGAAATAAGTAAAGGCCAAATATAACAAGCTATTCACGTTTTCTATGAAAAACTTCAGTAGTCATCATAGTGCAGTTTCTTTAGAGAATATTTGTATCCCTTGGACCTGCTAGGGTAAATCAACTGAAAAAGCTTTTAAACACTTAAGCCTGTCCTACAGGTGTAAGTTGACTTTTACATGTTTACCAGATATAACAGTTTTAATTATTAGCTGCTCATTTTGGTAAAGATTGACCAAGCACTCCTTAAGGTTGAATCATGAGTAGCTGGCACCCAAGGAGATGTGACACTGGGCTTTAGGAAGGCCTCTGGGCTTCCCTGATAGCTCAGTAGGTAAAGACTCCACCTGCAACGCAGGAGACCCTCGTTCGATTCCTGGGTCAGGAAGATCCGCTGGAGAAGTGATAGGCTACCCCCTGCAGTATTCTTGGGCTTCCTTTGTGGCTCAGTTGGTAAAGAATCTGCCTGCAATGCGGGAGACCTGGGTTCGATCCCTGGGTTGGGAAGATCCCCTGGAGAAGGGAAAGGCTACCCACTTCCAGTATTCTGGCCTGGAGAATTCCATGGACTGTATAGTCCATGAGGTCACAAAGAGTCAGACACGACTGAGCAACTTTCAGTTTCACTCACTGGAGTGGGGAGGGGGTTAAAGTCTGGTGATATGTACCTATCATACAAGACTAATATAAGGATTGCATATGATGAGGAGGATAAAATGCCTGTACATAGTAAGTACTTAGTATATGTTAATTCATCATCCTCTCATGTTACTGATGATGGCCATACATGTACTAGGTCATATTAATATGTGTTTTTAAGCATGTTGGGATCTATCTTGATTTTAGCAGTGTTGTTTTATAGTGATACTTAGGAAAAACAAGAATGACATGTTGAAAATGTATAGCTTCTCATTAAATTATAGGTTGTTGATAGTTCAAAAAGCAATGCCAATGGTTTTGAACTTTTTGGTGAAATGAGACAAGGTCTAACAGTGGTCACGAATAGAATGATTGTATCAGTATTCAGCTTGCTCCAGATTTCTCTCTGAATTTTAATTATCACGTAAAGATACTGCACTAAGAAAATATTCTTATGTAGAGTCTACTAAGAACCAAAAGGAAGCTTGGAGTCCTGGGTTGGAAATGGAAGTGTGTGTGGGCTGGTACAGCCTGTAGGAGTCATGAAACTGTTGGAAGACAGGCTTAGTCATGAAAAAGACCTTGGAAACAGTTGGCTATAGGCTGAGAAATGCCTTTGGGAGACTTAAAGCGTTAATAGATATACTCAAGAAGTTGAAAGAAGAGCCTTGAAAAAGAAAGCAGCTATAGCTGGACTCTCAGTCACTATTCTTCCTGCTATTCAGGATAGTCTAAGCCTCTGCATGTCTCCGGGTCACCTGACAACAGTGCAGCACATAATGTAACAGTGAGAGCTCCAGAGCCACTGTCAAGACGGCGCTCACACTAAAGCATTAATAAGTGAGCAGATACCTCCACGAAGGGGGAGGCGGCTGGGTAGTTGCAGTAGAAGTTGAGGGAATTGGTATCGAGAGTTGAGATTGAGACCCAGATGTCATATTTTTAAATGTTCTGCTTAACTTTTAAAGTTAGCAATATTCATATAATATAGGAAGCGAAAATTTTCAGTGGGAAATAGGTCATCAATGATGAAATTATATTAAGAGTTTGTGTGCAAGTTACTGTGCAAAATTTAATTATAACTGCATGGTCTATGCTCTCTAAGAGCCTACTGTTAAGAACAGTAGAGTCTGGAGATTTAGTTGAATTGCCTACCAGTGGTCTTGTTTTCAAATTTTTTTAAGTTCAATAAATGTTTATTGGAGACCTGTTATGTCCCTGGCATTTTCATACCACCAAAGGGATATAGTATCGATCAAAACAAAAAATATTTCCCCTAAGAAGTTGAAATTCTCCAGGGGGAAGAGAAAAAAGAAAAATGACTTTTCCTCTGATGAGAAGGCGAAAAATTGGTGGGTTTTAAGGAGTGGCATGATCTGATTTTGTTTTATCTATATGACTTTGGCCCTTTGTTTTGAGAATAGTATGCAGTGAGGCAAGGAAAGAATCAGCTGGGAGCCTTTTGTAATAATCCAGATGGGGATGGTAAAGGCTTGGATGGCAGTAGTGGCAGTGGAAATAGGGAGAAATAGGCAGAATTTAGGTGTGTCTTTAAGGAGCCAACAGGATTTACTGATGGATTGAAAATGGGGTGTTAAGGAAAGAGAAAAGGCAAAGATGACTTGGAGGGTTGAATTGTCATTTACTAACATGGGGAAGCCTGTAGGAGCATCAGCCTTGGGGAGAGCATGAGCAGCTTTGTCATGGGGTGATGTTAAGTGTGAAATGTCTAGTAGACATCTGGGGGAGATGTCAAAGAGGCAGCTGAAAATACAAGCCTTGAGTTCAGGGAAGAAGTTTAGGCTCTTGTAGGTGGTATTTAAAGTAATGAGAGACCCACTGAGGTGATCAAGGGGAGGTAGTACAGATAGAAAAGAAATCTGCGAACCGAGAGCCTTGGGTCATTCTAACATTAAGAGACTGAGACAACGAGATGTCTAAGAAGAAATGGCCAGTGAAGCAGGAGGAGGGCCAGTAGTTTGGTGTCCTGGAAACCAAGCAAGAAAGTGTCTAAAGAGAGGATCCTCTCTCTGGGGATAGCAATGGTATCTTCTCAGAGGTGGCTGTGATGGACTTGTTTAAATGGATTAGAGAATTCATTAAAGTACCTGTCTCAGTACCTGGCTGCTGGGTAGTTCAAGGTGGAAGTCATTGGTGACTTAACAAGAACAGTTTCAGGAGAGTAATCAGGACAAAAGCCTGGTTGGAGTGGGCTCAAATAAGAAGAGGAGGAAAGAATTGGAGACAGCAGAAATAGTCAGCCCTTCTGAGTATTCCTGTGAAATTGCATTAGAATAATGGAGAATTAATTCATGGAAACCTGGGGTGAGAAGAAATGGGTGTGTGTATCTGTCTGTCTATCTGTCTCTGTCTCTTTTAGGTTGGAAGAAAGTATAGACTGTTTATGCACTGATGAAAATAATCCTATATAGAGGAGGAAATTGATGGTGTAGTTGGATTTAGGATAATGAATTGTTTTGGTCATAGATAACCGGTTGGCTGAAATAAGTAGATTGTCCTTTGTCCCTTTACCCCTCTCCTTTTCAGTCTTTCATTCATTCATCCATCAAACATTTTCTGAAGGTTAACCAAGTGCCAAGGATCAAACCGGGGCTGGGTAAAGGACAGTGATTAGGAGGTGAGTCAAATGAACAATCTACAGCCTCCGGTGAAGTTTTTACCACCCGGTGGAGGTAGGCCTCCTAAAAACACAAATATAGATTTCAGTGAATGCCTCATAGGAAAAGTATGGACTCCTTTAGAGATAAAAAGAGAGGATGTCTTGGTGTACTTTGGATTGGGTAACATTCGAAGGCCTCTCAGAAGGAAAGATGGACCGAGAAGAAAAGCGTTCCAAGCAGAGGGAGGAGAGCGTGTAAAGGCCTGGGACAGGGCAGAGCCTGGTGCTTCCAGGGGCCCGAGAGGTCGGAGCTCCTAAGAGGCAGAAAGGAGGCAGGTTGTGCTGGGCTTTGGGGGCCTTTTAAGATTTGAGGTTATATCCTAGTAGCAATGGGAAGCCATTGAAAAGCTTTTAGATGTAAGTTACATGTTAAGTTTGCACTGAGGGGTGGGGGGAAATCTACCTGAGCTGCACTGTTTCATGGTGAATGGACTGGAGGGGGCAAGAGTGGGAGAAAAAAGCTCCAATTTAGGTGGAAAGATAGTACCTATAAAATAGACTGAGATTTTACAATTTTGTTACTAAAAAATAGAACTGAGAATATCCTCTACTTAGCAGGATTTGTTTTAAAGCTTATCAGGTTTCTCAGCACCTGAAAAGAACATTTTCCTGTTAAAAATAACATTAATGGAGAAGAGTCAGATGAAGATGTCAGTGATTTCAGCTTACTTAACATAAAATGAAACTTCAAAAAAGATTGTGGTAACTTGGTGAAAATTTTCAAATAATAAGCTTTTTTCCATGCACGTTTTCCAGAAAAATATCAATAACACAATACCAGAGACAGACTCTTTAAGACCATGGATTGAAGTACATGAATATGTACCAAGAATAATTAATCTACTTATGATATTTTAAGTGTTCATATAATATAAAGAACCTTAAATTTTTTGCTTTAGTGGATGTACATTATTTTTTATGAAAAAATAATATCATAAAAACAGTTTATTGATTTAAAAAATTTCAAAAGTTTCCCTTTTCATTTTTAGAAGTATCTTAGTTTTAGGATAAATTATGTGATTAGAGATAAACCTCTAATCTCTCCAGTTGAAGAGTCAAGACTGGTGAAAAAACCATCACATTATAGTACAGGATGCATATTTTATTGTGCTAATTTAGGCTTCCTCCCAAAGAGATTTGTTAAAACAGAAGAGCAGTTATAATACCAAGTATTGCTGTATCAGGTCACCCACAACTCCAGGGCCGTGAATTAACTTGTTGTGAGCCCTCACTTGAAAAAGAAAATAAGAAAAGAAACAGAAGTTACTCCCTATCTAGACAAGCCACTCCTCGGAGTTCTATCTTGGTTGTAACTTGAGTTTTCTTTCTCACGCTGGCATTTTATTTATGCTTTTCAGGGTAAAGAGAGTTTGGGACATTTTATCATCTGGAGTTTCTCTGTGACTTGCTGATGATCTGAGCTCAAAGCTGCCAGTTTATGGGAAAAGATAAGAAAACCTCCTGTAACATCTGAGTAAGTAGATGCTGTAGTCTGCTTTAATTTATTGCCTAAAAAAAGAAAATTTTTTAACATTTAGGTTCTAAATTATCAGGAACTTTAATTGGATTCTTTAAATTTTGTTGTCGAATAATGATGGCCATTATTACAGTTCCAATAAGTGAATATTTTTAAATACTGGGATTCTGGAAGAAATTAATCCCCCTGATAATAAGAAAGTTAATGAAAACATTTTCTATATACAATGGTTTAGCTTTTAAGAATCATATTAAGGACCTGACTGTATGTATTAAAATTTTAAGAGCTTATTAAATTTTTCCTTAGTGTTTTATTTCAGCTTTTTATTATGAATGCAAAAATATTGGTAAGACAGCTGTTATGAATTTTTTAAATGCAACTGTCTGTACAAAAATTGTATTTTAGCAGGAAATGTATTTTGGCTAACTTGAAATAAATGCTTGTTTGTTTCTTGAAAATAGAATTTTAAAAGTTCCTTCTATTTGAAAATAATGTTTTTTTTTCCCCTGATAATATAGATAAAATTACAAAATCTCTCTGGATTTGACTTTGTTTCTTAATTAAAGAGACTAGAAAATAAGGGCACTCATTTTTTCCAATCAGAATTTCTCTGTGAAATTTAGAGTTGAGCCAGTTTGATAAAAACTATTTTTTCAGAATGAAAGCTACTAGTTCTCTTGTTATATCCATTGAATCTGTTTGACAAAGCTAGGAAATTATGAGGTTGTACCAGGACCTTATTTTGGAATGCTCAGGTGAATACAATGAATAAATGTACAATATATTTCCCTACTATAACAGGGTTATTTAATTTTGGTCTATATCTGAGCTGTTCGATATGGTAGCCAGTGGCCACATGGAGCTGTTGACATTTGAAATGTGGCTGGTCCCAAATAAGATGTGCTGTGCATAAAACAGACACCAAAGTTCAAAAACTTAGTGTGAAAAAAAAAGACTGAAAATATTTTATTAGTAATTTTTGTATGAATCACATGTTTAAATGATAATATTTTGGATATATTGGGTGGAACAAAACATTAAAATTAATTTCACTTGTTTTCTCTTACATATTTTTAATGTAGCTGCTAGACAATTATAACTTACTTGTGGCTTACGTTCTATTTCCAATAGATAGAACTGGCCTGTATATAGTCAACATGCTTAGTCATCCATTAATCAGCATTCTTTTAGCTTTGAACCTTCTGGGCTGTGTATGGATCAATTAATACAAATATGCATTGTTTTAAGAATGTGATTCTTTGATTCAATCGAGTATTTGCTGAGTACCTGCTATGTGCCAGACAGTCTTCTAGGTACTGGTGTTACAGTATGAAAAAATAAACAAAAGTTCCTGCCTTCGTGGTGTTAGCATTTCATTAATGAAACCAGAATGAAAACATAAATAACTAAAATATATAATCTGTTGGAAGAAATGCAAGGGAAGGGTTCAGTTGTAAACAGAGTGTTCAGGGAAGGCCTCACTAGATAGGCGCTGTTTGAACAAAGACCCAAAGAAGGCGAGAGAAAGAGAGCCCTGTGGATATTTGGGGGAAGAGTGTTCCAGATAGAGGCAATAAGGGATGCTAAGACCTTGAGGCAGGAGTGTGTCTGGCTTGTCTAAATGGTCGGAGGCGAGATGCTTGATTGGAGTGAAGTGAGTGGCGCAAAGAGAGGGAGATGAATGGGCACATCATGTGAGCAGCAGTGCTGTCTGTGCAGGCTCACAGGTGATCCTAGGGAAGCAGGCCGGAAAACAAGTAAGAATTACAGATTCTAAAAACGAAGCGAAGACATCAGGAGCTCCACTTCATGGGGGGAGATAGATTCTACAGCTTAAGTTCAAGCAGCTTACTAAAAGAACCATCAACCCTTAGAGGTCTGAGACTGTCAGCTGATGGCTAGATGAATAAAATGAAGTAAATCCATAATACTGTTGGGCAGTAAAAATGAGCAAAGACCTGATACATGCTACAACATGTATGATGAAAACATGCTAAGTGAAAGAAGACAGTCACAAAAGGTCACGTATTGTATGATTCTGTTTATATGATATTCCAAGAAAACACAAGTCCATCATTTTATAGTAGCATTCCAAAGACCAAAATGCTTTGGAATAAATTTAACAAGAGAACTGTAAGTCCTGCATATTGAAAACTACAAACTTTCGTTGAGAGAAGTAGAAGTATCCCTCAGTAAGTCGGAATATATACTATGTTTATAGGTTGGAGGATTTAGTGCTGGTGATGTGGCAGTCTTCTCCAAATTGATCTGGAGGTTCAACAAAGTCATTGCCAAAGTATCAGACAGACTTTTTGTAGAAACGTATTTATAGAAGTTGGCAAACAAATTCTAAAATCTATAGGAAATGGAGAAGATCTAGAATATCTGTCAGAGTAACTTTAAAAAAAGAAGAAAGTTGAAAAAAGAAAGTTGGAAAACTTACACTGCCTCTTTTCAAAACTTACCATAAAGCTATAGTAATAAAAACAGTGTAGTATTTACATATGGATGAACATATAGATCAGTGGAACAAAATATCCAGAAATAAGATACATATGTGGTCAGTTGCTTTTCAGCAAAGGTACTAAGGTAATCCTATAGGGAGAACATAGTCTCTTCAACAAATAGTAACAATTGGATTTCCTCATGAAGTAAAATGTACCTTGACTTTTACCTTACAACATACACAAAAATCAACTTAAAATGGATCACAGACCCACATGTAAAGAAGTAATGTATCTGGAAGTCTTGTGTCTTGGGTTAGACAAAGATTTAGTCAGTAGGATATAAAAAGCATGAAGTATAAAAGAAAAAATGGTAAATTGGATTTCATCACAAAGTTTTGCTCTTCAGAAGATACCAGTCTTAAGAAAATGAAAAGTCAAGCCACATACTAGGAAAAAATATTCACAAAACATAAGTCTGATAAAGGATTAGTACATAGGAAAAGGGGGCTTTCCTGGTAGCTCAGCTGGTAAAGAATCCACCCGCATTGCAGGAAGCCTCAGTTCAATTCCTGGGTTGGGCAGATCCCTTAGAGAAGGGATAGGCTGCCCACTCCAGTATTCCTGGGCTTCCCTGGTGGCTCAGATGTAAGGAATCCACCTGCAGTGCGGGAGACCTGGGTTCCATCCCTGGGTTGGGAAGATCCCCTGGAGACAGTGGAGCCTGTCCATGGGGTCACAAAGAGTCGGACACAACTGAGCAACTAAGCATAGCCCATGTAGGAAAAAAATAAAGAACTCTTAAAATTCAGTCAAAAGACAACAATCTGATTGAAATATGTACAAAAATTTGAAGAGACATTTCACCAGAAAGATATATGAATGGCACATAAACATATGAAAAGCGTTTCAACATCATTAGTCATTAGGGACATGCAAATTAAAGCCTTAATGAGATATTGCTGCACACCTACTATAATGACTAAAATTAAAACCTGACAGCCAGTGCATTGGCAAGGATGTGGATAAGCCAGAATCTTTACATGCTGCTGGTGGTAATATGAAATGGCACAACCATGTTCAAAAAGAGTTTGGCAGTTTCTTTAAAAGTTCAACATACACTTAACATGTGACCAGCAATTCCATTCTTACAGATATGCTGTCAGGAGAAATAACAGCATATGTCCAGACAAAGACTTGTATACAGTGTTGATAGAAGCTTTATTTGTAGTTGCCAAAAAGTAGAAATAATGTAACTGTCCACCAACAGATGAATAGATAAATCCATGCACTGGAATGCAACTCAATAATGAAAAGGAGTGGACTCTTCATATATGCAATGGCATGGGGAATCTCAGGATGAGTATACTCTATAAAAAAAGCAGATTCCCCCCTCAAAGCACCATTTAATTGAAATGCTAGAAAATGGAAACTAATCTATAGTGACAGCAGATCCATGGTTGCCTGAGGATGACTTGGCGGGAGGAAGGAGAAAAGGATTCCAAAGGGAGGAGCACAAAGAAACATGAGGGGTGATGTATATGCTCATTATCTTGATTTGCATAATAGTTTCAGGGGTGTATACATACATCAAAATTCATCAAATTGTATAGTTCAAGTTTGTGTGATTTATTGTGTATCAATAACACCCCAGTAAGGTTGTAAAAAAAATTGTGTCCATTCAAGGATCAAGCATATATTCATAGCAGATTCACAATAGACAATCCAAAAGATACTATAGACAATTCACAAAGAATCCAAATCCATCATCTGGTGAATGGATAAGCAAAATGTGTGATGGCTGTACAATAGAATATTACTCAGCCGAGAAAAATAACAAAACTCCTAATTCATTATCTAGTATAACGTGAATGAACCTCAAAAACATGCCAGGTAGCAGAAGCCAGAAACAAAGGACTATATGTTGTAATATGCTGTTAATATGAAATTTTTAGAAAAGAAAAAATCAAAGATCAAATCAGTGATTGCCTGGGGCCAGAGGGGGAGTAGAGGCTGGTTGTGAACAGGTAGAAGGGAACTGTTGGGATGATGGAAGTATTTTTGTTGACAGTCATGCAGCTGTCTATGTATAACTTACTAAAGCTCATCTGATTGTATTATTAAAATGGATTACTTTCATGGTATATAAATTACACCTTAATAAAGCCATTAAAAAATGGATGGCCAGTCAAATTTTTAAATCCTCATTAAGAGAACTGTTCAAGAAACAGGACAGTATTGTGGATTTCATTGTACTATGTTGCTTTGGAATACTTGGTGAGACCTGTTGAATTCATTTTTGTGTCAGATGTTTTTTGGATTCTAAAGGTGAAACAAATCATTATTAGTTGCCTTTTCCAGGGTTTAGTGACAGTAGCAGCTGCATTTCGCTTACACGTAAACATTGGTTTAGAATGATTAGTTTTGTGCTGAACAACTGTTAGCACCCTCTGGCTGAAAGAAATGGTAGTTTCTTAGATTGATACTGTATTCGTGCACAGTAGTTCAGAAGTGTAGGTTAACCTCCACCTCTCAGTTCTTCATGAAGGAAAT